ATGTGTAAAATTTAGCATAACGTTAATTTCATTTAAATTTAGTTTTCAAAAAAAAAAAAATTAGATGAGGAATTTTTAATAAAATTAAAAAAATTCATTACTTAATATAAATTACATCAAAAAATGAATTTTTGAAGTTTTTCAACTTTTTAATTAAATTTTGTTAACTATTTCAAGGTTTTTTTTTTTACTTTTTTTGCTTTTTTGCTTTTTTGACAGTAATGCTAACGATTATTTTAGCTAATAACAACATGTGGTATTTTGTTAGCCAAACGTTATCGTCAACGTTTGGTGACATGTTTAACAATAACTTATAATGCAAGTAATGATGCATTTGTTTTGGCAACATTCAAGAAAAGTCATTCATATAAGAAGAATTCAATTGAGGTATCACGCGCAGATGTCTTACGTGGATGTTATCATAATCTCAGGTATGTAAGAATTTAATTAAAAAAAAAAAAATTACAATTAAACATTAAGTAATAAATTTCTAATTGAATTGAAAGGTATGTAAGAATTTAATTAAAAAAAAAAAATTACAATTAAACATTAAGTAATAAATTTCTAATTGAATTGAAAAAAAGAAAAGGTTTTGTTCATTTTGTTAATGATATTTTGAAATTAGCTCATAATCTACAAACTTAATCCCGCGAGATCACGATAAAACAAACTACTTCTAATCGATAATCATCCATTCTTTGCTGTATTATAAATATGAAATATAATTAAATAATATTAAAAAAAAAAAAAAGTGCAAATTTCTTAAACTATTTGATGGTATAATTTACCTAAAATATAGTTTTAAATATAAGTAAACCATTTATTATTTAATTTTGTTTAAATAATTAGATACTTTTAATTAAGTTTTGATTAATTACTTTTTTTCTTTTCAAAATCTATTTTTTTTTACATTAATATTATATTTTGCAGGTATTGCTTTCGACGATTTCGTATTTTAGGCTTACAATTTTCCAACCTTTTTCTCTGTTCACGTACGTTACGTTATTTTTGTGATTTATTATCATGTTGTTCAACATTGGAACCTAAAACACTTCGATTATGTGATTGTTATGTTGCTGATTTACAACATGATGCATTAATGCGCTTAATGAATTTATGCGCCAAATATCTTATCGTTCTATCTTTTATAGTATGTTAATTTTGTTTTTTTTTTTTAAATCAAAATTTTTTAAAAAATATTACAAATTTTTTGAATGCAAAAATAAAAAAATATATTAAATAAATATAAATCAAATTAAAGTTGGAAAAGAAAAACTATCAATTAAGTTTAATTAAATTTGATTAAATCAATTTTGAAATTAATTTAATTTAAAACTTAAATAAATACTTTTGAAATACACGAAATAGTTTTTAAAAGAAAAACTATCAATTAAGTTTAATTAAATTTGATTAAATCAATTTTGAAATTAATTTAAAACTTTAATAAATACTTTTGAAATATACAAAATAATTTTTTAAAGAAAAACTATCAATTAAGTTTCATAAAATTTGATTAAATCAATTTTGCAATTAATTTAATTTAAAACTTAAATAACTATTTTTGAAATATACAAAATAATTCTTAAAATTTTTGAAAATTTTGTAATTTAATAGGAAAATTAACTTTTCAATTAAATTAATTAATTAAAATTATTTAAAAAAACGATTCCACTATTTTTTTCGCCTTTATTTTATTTTATTGTATTTTTTCTATTAGCTACTCTTCTTCTGTTTGTATTTTGGAAATGGTTAAAAATAATATTTTTTATGGGGCAGAATTTATCATTTGAATCATTCAAAATTTCCAGTTCTTCAATTTAGTTCATTTCATATTCTTTCCGGTTAATTCCGGATTATTGAAATAACAAAAATAATGCTTTTCATGGAGGCAGGGTTTATCATTTGAATCATTCAAAATTTTCCGGTCCTTCGAATCAACCTTCTTTGAACTCATTCCGGTCAATTCATCTTTCAAATTGACCGGATCATCGAATAACAAATAAATGGTAGGATTTTTCATAGTTTTCTTAAAACTATGAAAAAAATAAAAAAAAAACAAAACAAAAAAACTTATGCTTATATCCAATTATACTTTAACATTTAATATGGTATAAGAATGTTTAAGTCAAAAAAAATAAAATTAAATTAAATTAACATTAAAAAAAAGTTTTTTTTTTTACTTAAATAAATCATTTCAGAATTTAGCCAATGTTTGGCTAACATTATTTCAAGATGATTTATTTCAAATAATTAATCGGAAAAAAAATTTTTCAGAATTTAGCCGGTGTTCGGCCAACATTATTTCAAGATGATTTATTTCAAACAATTAACCGGAAAACATTATATGTTTTAATGATTCAATCGATTGATTTCCATATTTCGGTACCAACTAATGAACAACAACTTTCACTCAGTGATTTCATCCTTCATTGCTTACCAAATACAATGCGTAAAATTAAACTTGAAAAATGTCAAAATATTACCGCTGAAGGCGTTTGTGATTATGTTGAGGTTAAATTTTGTTTTTTTTTTTAAAAAATTCAAAAATTAACGAAATATATAATTATTTTAAGTATTTGAAAATTTAAAAAATTAAAAAAATTTTAAAAATTCTTAAAATTCCGAAAAATTAAACAATTCAAATATTTTACCTTTTTTCTTTTTTAAAGAAAAATAAATTTTGAAAATAATATTAAAATAAAATTTTAAAAAGATAAAATTTATATAATTCTTTTGTTTTTTTTATTTTCAGCGTTACTTTAACAGTAATGAGAGTATTGTTAAAGCACATCAACAATATCATCGTTCAACGGAAATGGTTTTCCGGCAATGTAAACATTTAACAACTGCAGCATTTGAGAAAGCTGCTCAAAATCGTCATATCCGTATTGATGGACAGGATCCGGATGGTGAATATATTATGAATTGGGTGAAACGACGACAATATCATTTACGGCATACCAATCATAAAAAGGTATTTCATTTATTGAATTTTTATTTATTTATTTATTTTTTCGTTTTTGTTTTAAGCAATATTTAAAATATTTAAATCTTTAATATAACAATAAATTTTAATAAAATTTGTTTATTTGTTCTAATAATGTTTAGTTAATAAATTATGATAAAAGTTATCTGTTTTTTTTTTCTAATTTCAAAAATGATTTTATTTTTTAGTAATAATTGTATAATATGGAAGTAATGAGAATTTTTACTTTTAGTAATAGTATGATATGAAAGCAGCCAAAATTTCTAGTAATAATTGATAAGAAAATAATGAGGAACTTCTTGTAATAGTATGATATGAAAGGAATGATAATTTCTGGATGATAATATGATATGAAAGTAATCAAAAAATTTTTACATGATAGTATAATATGAAAAAAAAAAAATGATGATAACTTCTGAATGATAATATGATAAGAAAGGAATGATAACTTGGAAATGATAACATAATCACAATTTCTTGATAATTATGCTAATATAAATGTAATGATAACCCGCTTGGATGATTGATAATGTGATATTAAAGTAATGATAATTTTTTGGATGATATAAGTGATATGAGTGATATGAATTGTAAATGAATGATGTTAAATAGTAAAATGAAATTTTGAAAAAAAAAAATTAATTTTTAGAAATAATTTCAGTTAATTGCTATTGAAATTGATAGTCATCAGTTGATTACACGTAGTGGACATTCATCACCGGCAACAATTGAAGAATTCAATAATCGGAATTCGATTCATACCGTACCATTCTTAAGTATTTCTCATTTACATTCATCTGCTGCTCTTGCTGCTGAACAAATTCTTACACCAGCTATCAATTCGATTCGAATGGCCCGAAAATTGAACCGTAAACAGGAATGTGTTATGATGATAAAAACGGATAAGCGTTATTCAAAAATATATGATGATGAATCATCCGTTTTCCTACAACCAATCATTAAAACAGCTAGTATTATTCGTCGTTTAAGTTATACAAATAATCAAATATTCAATGATCGTTTTTCATTTCCACGATAATTCATTTCATTAATTAATTAAAAAAAAAAAAAAAAAAAACGTGGGAAAAAAAAAACTTATTAAAAATTGGAAATTTATTCTCATCCTTAATTAAATATTTCCGGATAATAATACTATGCTTTAGTTTTATGTAAATTTCCTATATTTGCATTTGTAATAAGCTTTTTGTTTTATCAATAATTAATTTCTTATTCAAAATACTATTTGTACGTTTGTTTCATTTTTGATCTCATCAATTATTCCTTTTAAGTTTCAATAAAATTTGTTGCTATTTATGAATGATAGCATTCTATTCCCTTTTACAACTAATTCATTTAAAATTTAATCGAAATTAAATTTTTAATTTAATTTCTAATCTTATCAATTTAATCGATAATAGTAATATTATGAGTGAGATCATAGTTTAGTCTAATTTTTTTTTGTTCTTTTTGTTTCAAACTTATGTATCATTTAATATCTTTAAGATTTAAGTAAATGTCTTTAATATCTTTAAGATTTAAGTAAAATAAATGATTTAAGTAAATTTCATCTTTAAGATTTAAGTAAATGAATTTTTAAGTATCCCATTTATCCATTTAAGTAAATGAATAATAAATCTTAAAGACTTGAAATTTAAATTTCACCTTTAATTATTCGATATGATACATAAAAAGCTTAAAAAAAAAAGAATATTTTTTTTTCAAAAGCTTTGAAAGAAGAAAAAAGGAATAAAGAGAGATAAAAAAGGGAAAATGGGAAAAGTATGAAAAAGAATAAAAAGGATATTTTTTGAAAAAAGAATAAGAAATATTGTCATAATTTGTCACAAATAATTTAATAATTTCGTTTGCGCTTCGAATTTCTGACAATATATTAATAAAATATATTAATAATTAATACAATATATTAATAAGACAATATATTAATAAATATTGAGTATACTTTTCATCGCCTTTTTTCTTTTTAATTTTTTTTGCGACAATTTTGACAAAAATTTCGTGACAATTTGCTTCGCCTTATTTTGCATCTTGAAAAATTGTAATTAATTTCTCAAATTATTATTTATACAGTACATAAAGTAAGTGTAATGCAAAATACGTATTTCACTAAAAAATTTGCTAACAAAAAGAAAAAAAACCACAAAATTTTACTTATTAATTAATTGTTTGATTTTAAATTTTACAAATAGACGTGTAAAAATTTGAAATTCACAAAAAATTAAAAAGAAAAAAAAAGAGATAGAAAAGTATTCGCAATATTTATTAATATATTATCAAAAATTTGAAATGCAAACTAAATTATTAAATTATAATTCGTTTCTTCTTTTCAATCTTTTTCTATTATTATAATTCCTTTTTTTTTCCAATCTTTTCCTACTATTATATCAAGTAATTGGATATAAAATTGATGTTTGAATGAGTTAAAGAAAAGACAAAACGCAAGATTGAAGAGAAAAAAAAAGCACTTGATGAGTGGAAGTTTTAATGATGAAGTAAAAATTTTTTTTTCAAAAAAAATTTTTTTTTCGATTAAAAAACCGAACTTATTTATTTGAATTGAATATATATATATATATATAATTTATATTTGTAACGATTATCATTTCATAATACACACGGTCAAAATAATGATTACTTACAATTTATTGATTTAAATTTATAGATTTGTATGCACCTTCTTGTACTTAATCATAATTACTGCTTATTATGACGATTAATACAGATATCATTAATTACATTATATCTCACTAAAATTAAAAAAAAAAGAAAAAAACAAGAGAAAGAGAGTATAAATGCAGAAAAACGAACAAAATTGCAACAATTTGAAAAAAAAAAGAAAAGTTACAACCGTTGAGGTGAAAGAAATGATCAACTGAGCGTTAATAAACCCATATTGAAATTCAAACAAACGTAATAAGTTAGATAATGATATAATAAGTCATTCAAATAAACATAATTATGGGTATTTGAATGAAACATGAATAAATAAACATTATACCAATAAAATATACCGTTTAGTAATGAATAAAAGTTGAAATTGAATTCTATAAGTGAAGAATACGATGGGTTAATTAATTAGTTAATTAAGGTGAAATCTAAATGAACAGGAACATTTTGAGGTCTGGTTAAATTAAGTACCATCCATGAATTAAATGAATATGAAATGGTTAAGAAATGCATATATCCATTTACATTCATCTAATAACTTTCATTTTCATCAAATTGAAATTGTTAAGAACACTAAATTTCATTGCCAAGTCTAAAAATTTGAAATTTGAATTTCATAAATTTGAAGTTTTTAAATTTGAATTTTATAAAAATAGGTGCATGATCGAGTGAAGGTTAAATGTTAAGATATAAGTCAATGTTTCATTTATTTATGGCGGATTCATGAACAGTTTTACTTCAGAAAATTTAAAGTAATCCTGGAAGGTAGCTTTCCGCAATTAAAATTTCACCAAGACGGAATGAATATCCAGCAAATAGACTGTAATAACCAGTCGATTCACTATCAACATCTTGAAGATCATCCTGAAAAATGCTTATCTCTGAAATGATCAAAAAGTTTATTTAGCTAAATATTGAAGATTGCGGGATTGGTGATTAATTAAATGAGCAAAGATCATTTGTAATAGTTAATTTTCTGCCGACAGAAATATCGACTATACTTAAATTCAAAGAATTATAACTTTTCTATCCATTTTAAAAAGAAGTAGCGAAAAAAAAATTAGCAGTAAAATAATTTGTAACACTTGGATGCATAAAATAAAAATTATACTATTCATTTAACGAAAAGTTGACAGTTTTAAAACAGTACTTTTCGTGATATCATTTGACTATCATCGGTGAATGAAAGTGAACCAGATGGTGTTTCAGGTGGTGATGGTAGTATCGTTGAAAAATCAACTGGACTAACTGCAAAAAAAGAAAAAAAGACCAGTTAGATTTAGTAGAAATAAAAGTTTTTCCGAGATTAAAAAAATTAAGAGCTAAATATTGATTCAAGCAAAATAACTAATAATTAAAGTTGAGAAAAAAAAAACAAACCAAAAAATTCTGATTCGATATGATAATAACTTTTAGATTCACATGTCTTATCACTACTGACAGAACAACGCAGCTGAAATCTACTTAACTTATTACTGTATAAAATTATTTTTTAAACAATAATATTGTCTGTAGTTAAATGTCACGCTTACCGGTAGGTATAATAAACGAACTTCTAAGTTTCCTGGAAAATATACTGCAGAATGATAAGTAGATGCAAAGGTACAGTATTTTGAGTATTACAGTACTTTTCATTAAAAATTAGAATGCAACTAAACATATATCTTGAATAACGGTCTGAAAATTTTCATCGATTTTTTAAATTTTCATTATTAAGTTTTTAAGTTTTCATTTCTATATGTGTGGTGAAAGATTAAAAGTGAGTAGTAAAATTGTGGTAAAAGATTAAAAATGAAACTTAAATGCTTACCGAATTTTGAAAATCATCAAATGGAAGTGATATAGTCGAAGTATTTGTTGACAAATCAATAGAATCAAGTAGTGGATGAGTTTGAGGTGTATCAAATTTCTGTGTTTGCAAATCACTAAATGCTGCACAAAAGGATAATGATCGTATACCATTTTCAACATTCTCAGCTTTCGGAAACTAAAAACAAATTTTTATATGGGCATTTAATCAATAGAATCAAGTAGTGGATGAGTTTGAGGTGTATCAAATTTCTGTGTTTGCAAATCATCAAATCAAAAAATTTTTTCATTTGAATTTTAACCCATTAAATCAAAATTATCGTCATTTTTTTAACTCTTAAATTTATATCTTTTATTGTAGACCGTTTTTTTAAACTTTGAATTGTAATTTTCCTTTTCCTTTTTTTATTTCATGAAATATTTCTTTTGCAAAGGCGTTGTTTGAAAAGACTATTCATTAAATTCAAATGGAAATTTTTTGAAATCCTAAACCATTCAGTTTATGAAAATTACATCTCGAATATCAAATGAACAGCAAAAAAAAGAAAAAAAAAACACAAAATGCTTTATTGACAACACTTACTTGACTTTCACTAAAGACAAATCCATTATCATTATGTTTCATTACGGTAGCTTCAGCATATGAAATTTTTCCATTAACTTTTTTTGAAATAAATGGTTTTCTTTCCGTAGCAATCGGTTGTGTAATCGGTTTCTTCTGAATCCATCCTAAAAATTGGATAATAAAAGATGTACAATTCTAAAAATATTCAAAAAATTTGCATAGGTTCAAAGATATCCAAGAATTTTCCTTTTTTCTTTAATTTTTACACCAGAAATTAGCAATTGTTTAGTGATTAATGCAGCGTATATCATGCATGATAACATATCACAATAAATAAGATCAATTATAATTATATATCCAAGTAAAAGTTCATAAGGTTAACTAAATGAAATTATTTTATTCAGTTTACTATTTATATGATATTTAAAATAGGTATTCAAGAATTTTCTTTGTTATTATCGATCAGAAAAGAAAAAAGTTTAATAGATTCTAATGGATTAAATAGAAATGAGTAAATGTAGTCAATAAATTCTACATCTATATATTTTTACAATTTTTATTCTTATCATTAATCTGTGAAATAAACAAATATATTACATACCATATTCACTTTTTGTATTCCTTGCTTCTGGTTCACATTTCTCTCTACGAAATGTATATGATACTGTTCGGCGCTAAAAATAATGAAATATAATTACTTGAAAACAGAAACAAAAAAAAAGTTAAATATATTACTTAAATTTTATTAAATACAAACATATCAAAATTGGTCGGTTGTGAATGAGAAAGAAATTATTGATAAAACATAATTCGATGAAAATACAATCAACAAAAAGACAAATTCTATAGAATAATATTTTATTCCATAGAAGAAATTTATCATGTTTTATCTTGTTGTCAAATATTTATCAATATTTAACATCATTATATCAACAAAAAAAAGAAAAAAAAATGACAAACCTCACTACCATGACTGTATTTTGTTATAGATGATGATGCTGAAAGAGAATAATCATTGGATGACATCGGACGTAAGAAGGTATTTCGTTTCTTGCTAAAATCAATAATACAACATTCATGTAATGAATTTTATTTGAAAATGAAAAAAAAAAGAAGAAAAAATACAATTTTCCTATCGTTATATTAAATTAAATTAAGTTAACAAATTTATTTTCAAGAAGAGAAAAGAAAATGCTAAAAATCATTTTATAGTTTCTAAAAGTTACACTTACTGAAAAAAAATCATTTAAATTAAATTAAATTAAATTAACAAATTCTTTCGTAAGGAAAAAGAATATACCATGAGTATTTTGACCGTTTCTAAAAGTAATTGTATTCATTGAACAAAAGTAAATTTCTTTTATCATTCAAATTATTTATTTTGTTTTATTCTTTTTTGTTTTTTCCTCAAAATCACATAATGTTAACTAAGACTAACTTCCCATTTTTGTTAAAATGCTTATCGTTTTGAATTGTTGCTACATTTGTTGAGCCAAAATTTAATCTTGGAAGATTTTTTCTTCCTTTTTTACTTTTTGGCGGTGTTGTCCGTAATGGTGTTGCATTTTGATTAGCTACAAATGTAATCATTATAATTATTATTTTTAAAATAAACATTCAAAATTTCTTAATTTATTGATATACCAAGAAAATATTTCATATTATTATCACTAATGCATCCCTTATTTTTATCTTTAAATTGTATTTACAAATGAATGTATGGACTGATATTTTAAAAAGAATTACTAATTATTACTCATAATTGTTTGATGATAAAATGTGTTCTGAATTATCTACTAATGAAACGTGTACTTAATTAATATTTATAGCTACAAAAAAAAGAAAAAAAAAGTTACAGAAAAAATAAACCAAACATTAACCTTGAAGCTAAATCTAAACTTTAATTTACAAAATTAGATTTGGTATCTTTCATTAATGGAGCTGTAAAGGTAATCCTAAAATTAATGAAAAGTTTTTCTTCTTTTTTTTTTTCACACTACTGATAATAGCTTGGTGGTACGATAAAGGATGCATTATCGATAAAATATGAAAAGAATCCATATTTAGATTTATGATTTAAAGTATTGATCGAATTATTCAAAAATTTCACTTAACCTAGGAATATCGCTGTTTGATCAAGTCGCATAAGTCCTAAGCCACAAACACAACGACATTTACGTTGGATTAATGATAAACCTTTCTTATCCCATAAATTTGATCGTCTTTGTGCATCCGTCCATCCACGAGCTGATCCTGAAAATTTTTTTTGGAATATTTAAATAAATTTCAAATAATTCCAATGTAAAATCATCATAGGTTAAGTAAAATTTTTAATTAATTAATAAAAATTTTAGCCAAAAATTTGCATTCGAATATTTTTCATATTTTATCAGCAATGCATATTTTATATATTTTTGCTTACCAAATTGCAATAATTCAACTGATAACTATTATCACACCTATATTACTCATAATCTTGACAAGATTATCTTCTAATGCATGAAAACATTCCGGATGCATTAATTGTTCCTGATATGGACATTGTATATTGCTGCATTTCATTTTAATACCATCCTCAAACGATGACGGCAAAGGTAATCCTAAAATTAATAAAAAGTTTTCCGTGTTAAATTACTAATAAAACATTTTAAAAAAATACAAAAATAAATTCAGCAAATTTGTTTAATTCATAAGCAAATTTAACTAGTAAGCATAATTATCAAAAAAAGTATACCAAAAAATTAAACTAGCCAAAAAAAAAAAAGTAAATTAATGAAATATGAGAACAAACCACGTAAACAACCGGATGGTAATGGTATAGGACAGCCTGGTTTACGATTTGTATCGTTGGTACCATTTGTTCGTTTCGATGAACCCATCACAATTACTGTAAAAATTTTCAAATTAAAAAAAAAAGAAAAATACTAATACGCAAGTCTAAATATACTAATACTAATACGCAAGTCGTTTCAAATTTATACATCATATCACAGCATTTGAATCAATATGAGAGTAAAAATTGTAAATTTAACATTTAACAAAAAAAAAGAAAATGATAATATTGTCAACTATCAATTGTTATAATTATGTTAAATATGAATGATAAGAAAAGGAAAATAATCAATGATGAAATGATGTTCATTTTGATATAATATTAAAATATTTCATGAAAAATGACATAAATGTTTTGTAATAACAATAATAATTTTCGGAAAAAATTATAAATCTAAAACTTTTATCACTGAATGTTTATCATATAGAATTAATATTTGATATTTGATTGTTAAAAGGTATTTAGTGATAATAATTTGATAGGAGATATTACTAATGATAAATAACTGCTAACAACAACAATCTTTTGTTCATTCTATTTGGCATAATTTGATGATAATATTACTGTAACGACGTACTGTAATTGATATCTTTCTAATTATCTTTACATATGTATTATGAAATTTTAAATTTAAAAAAATAAGCAAATTTAAAAAAAAATTAACAATAAACGAAAACAATTAATCAAGAAGAATTAAAAACAGCTAAAAAGAAAGAACTAAAAATAGCATTTAAATGATGATTAAACCATTTAAATTTGTCCATCAAATTTTATAAAAAAAAGAAAAAAAAGTGAAAAGAAAGGAAACCTATCAATATTCAAACGTTCTATCCAAATTTCAATGTTAACCATTTGATATATGCAAATTTTAATTACTAATTAAATTTTTTTTTAGATTGTTTTCATTAAAAAAAAATAATTGAATAAAAGACTTAAAAAAAATTTCTCACATAAAAACAGTATACATGAAAAAAATGTCCAGCAGAATAAAAACAGTATACGTGAAAAAAATATGTCAACCAGAATAACAACAGTATACGTGAAAAAAAGTCAACCAGGAGGAATACATAAAATCCTTTCCTAAATTTTTCATAAAAAATATTTCATAAATCCTTTCCTAAATTTCACATTCTCTTATTGATTTGATATGGAATTTTACAATTTTAGAAAATTTTTCGTTTAAAAAAAAAAGAAAACATAAATTTAACAGCAATCAATAAGAAGTAAACTGAAATGAAAAAAAAAAAAAAGAAAGGATATAATAAAGACTGAAAATTTTCGCATTTCTCTAAAATACATCATCCGGAAAATAAAACAAAATAGAATTCCGGAAATTTTCTTTTTTCTTTTTTTTTTTCAAGAAATCATTTCACTCCTTCATATCTTTATTCAGTATAAAAAAAAAAAAAACAACTCATATGAGGATATATTTATCACTAAATATTAGCATATATATAACAAATTAACACGTAGCGATGATGAATTTATACGGATAAGCATGAATTATTCTTGAAAGCTACCGCAAAAAAAAAAAAAAAGAGTAATGCGGACAGACATGAACCTACTGAAAAAAGACAATGGAGAAGCATATACATATATATATAAGGTATGGCAACAACATCTAACAGGCAACAATAACTCCATTAAATCATTTCATTCATTCATTCTATTCAAAAGCTATCTTTCTAATTCTATCGTGTCAAAGTTCAATATCGATAAAATACTTATCACATATATTGTGTAATTTTATGCTTTCATTACATGTGTAATTCGAATTATATCTGTTCAATTATTTCATTTTCATGTAACTACGCTTATATAAAATTAACACTAATAATATCGTATGATAATAATAAAAGAAAAAAAAAAAAAAGAAGACAAATAAGAGCAAAGATCAATTTTTTTTTGCATCTTGAATTTTGCACGAAATTTTTGCTTATTTTCACAATAAGAATTTATAAATGTAATAATTTCTATTACATATAACTATTTATCAACCTCGACCGCGTCTTTTTTTACTGGAGAATACGGATAAATATATGACTAACATTTTTAAATGTTATATGTCTTCCTTTCTTTTTTTTTTTTTTATTATTTCTCATCCTTATTTCAGATATTAACGTTAAACACGTTAAAATTTATTTTGTAAACTTAACGTTAAGAGTTAAATAAATACTCTTAGCGTTAAGTTTACAAAATATATCTCAATTAAATTATACTAACATGTATTCCATTTTTACGTCTCTTACGTATTTCATTTTTATATATTTTTTTTTTTTGGAAATTGAACATATTAATTTGAGATATTTCATCCTACCTTATACCGTAGAAAATATACAATTTCCTAAATCTTGTAATTTAAATATTTAACTAAACCAATAATAATAATAATAATAATAATAATAATAA